CTTTTTCTTTGCATATTTGCTTTCATAATTTATATTTTATAGAATATACAGAAGGGTATTCTGGCATCCTAATTCCCTGAGAGCACGACAACTGATAGCATGTAAGCATTCTAATATGATATCAGGGGTTAAAAATTAGTTGCAACTGATCTTTTTCAAGATAATTGTGAGTTGATCTGTGCTAAAATGGATCAAAAATATTTGCCAAGCACCCACTGTTTACAAAACCACACAAAAGCACTTAAGTAATAGTGTGAGTTACAGATCATAATAAAAGATGTCTCAAGACAGTGAGATATTAATTGTGTAAGAGAAAATGTTATTAAATGTTAGTTTCTGATATTGGGGGGGACATAATGTCATTAAATGTAGTTAATTAAAGACTGAGTAGGAAGCAACTGCTGTCCATAGATGTCTCTACACAGGAAACGGATACTGTTTGGTGTTCCCCGCTGTCTTGGCAGAGTCAGAGGAAGGTGGCTTTCTGGGTCAATAATGCTATTTAAGATGAACCCCCATGCTGACACACTCTGGTAGCTCTCAATCCTTCCTTCACTGGAGAAGTTAAAGGTCAATGGCTTACAGATTACAATTTGCGATGTGGAAGCAGCCTTAGGAAGAGCTAAAAGACCTTTGTCTTTATTCTATGGTCAAGATCCTAGCCAAATTTAAAATCCACTTTGGGGACAGGTACCAAGCTGCTTATACTGAGGTATCAGTGCAAAAATTTAAATGTAGTTGAAAAACATGAATCTTACCTCAGGTTAAAAGCATTCAAGAAGCTTTATTTCTATGTGGTCGGTGAAAAACAACTTTCACTGTGCATGCAATGTTACATGGGATTCTCATGGACAACAATGACCCTACGTATATGCACACATGTTGGCACCTGTGCAAACACACATGTGCACCCCCTCCCTGAAGCCTAGTCCTTTTGTCTGCCACCTGTATTCATTTTACTACTTGCCTCCCACTAAGGAATATGATGTGGTGTATGGAAAGTAGCAGATACTGTTAGGTAGTAAAATGGTCCCGTGTAACCGAGAAGAACTACAGGCAGATTTAACTAAACCATACAAAATTCTGTGGTGCAAATCTAGTCCTCCCAAAGCTTGTGATTAGGGCCACTCAGTGTGTTTTCAGTCTCTACTTGTAGACCATGACAATGGCACATACACATAACCAAGATGACGAGTCTTTTCCACCAGGATTTTAGATGTTTCAAATGTGTTACACAGATATTTTGAACCCGAGTTTTCTGAGGAAGAATCATGTATCTTTCTCAATATTGCAAGAGAAAAAATAAATTTCTAATGATCTGAAAAGCAGGGTAAACCATAGTCCTTTACAGATCAGGCTCTTGATTCAGAGTTAGGCAGTGAAGCTAAAGTTTCAGGAGAACTCCTGCTGTCTTGGGGATGTTCACTAACAGAGGATGGCAGGGAGAGGGTCATGAAAACAGCCTGGAGTTAAGAGGTCCTGAAGGGAGGGAAGAGTTCAAAGGAGGGAAATTGAACTGAGGGGTGGAATGCACAATGAAAACCCCCAGAGAGTTAAACAGATTGGAGTTCCAATCTTGGCCCTTCTACTTACTACAGGTAGCTGTTTTCCCTTGGGGAGGTAACTGAATTTCTCTGGTTCTCAGTTCTCTTCTTCTTGGCGAAATGGTTGAATTGTTTGTCTTGGAGTCCTGTTTCTGCTGATGACCACCTCAGGACTACAGGTAGCAAGAGTCTACGGGATAGGCATTTGGGGGATCCCCCCTCCCCTTTGTGGAACAAGCAGAACAAAATTCAGATAATGCTCAAAAGAAACCACAGAGTGAACTGTCAGGCTCTTAGGGGGGAGGGGAAAACACACTGTGAAAAATAAGGACACGAACTCCCCCACCTCTAATTGCTCCCCACAAATTCCCTATATTGGCTGTGTCTGGAAAGTGGCGCAGGAAAGGCAACATGACTGGGGACATGGACAGTTTCAGTTTTATATAATGTTTCTTTTGGAAAATATTTTCTAAGATAAATAAAATGTTCCCATTTGTTAATGATGGTAAAGGATATCCCTGTCAATTTTATTATTTGATTTTTTTTCTATATGTTAAAAATGTTTTAGAATTAGACTGGGAAGATGTTTTGTTTTGTCTTGCTTTTTTTAAATTAGGAGAGGTAAGGAGCAGTTAGAGGAAGTGAGGAGGGTAGGCCTAGCCTAAGAGTCAGGGTCCTGTTTCCAGCTACAAGTGGACTTGGGCAAATCACTTCTCTGCTCTTCAGACGTTTCCAGCTACAAGTGGACTTGGGCAAATCATTTCTCTGGTCTTCAGACATCTTACTTAAGGAAAAGAAATTTGAAGATGAAATCCCATCTACCTCTAAAATATTCTGTGATTCTAGCTTCTAAAAACAATTGATTACTGAATAATAATTCTTACAGACTTGGGAATTCAGTGTTCCTTGCCCACGAATCCCTAATTCTTTAAAAGGAAGAGAACCACACTTGATGATCACAAGGTAGCCAACAGCTCTCTATCAAGGAAGTCTGTGCATTGACATTCATTTTCTAAGTGGCAGCTTCAAAACCGATGAGCCCACAGGATGTTCATATACATCCTGGGCCAGACTCAGGAATCTGGAATGATCCAGAAACCTGTGCTTCTGTGTTAGGTTTCTTGCCATTTATCACATATATTCTAGTGGCTTCTCTCTGGATTTTCAGAGCATCTGCAAGGAAAATTTATACATATTAAGGCAGAAGAGTTCTATTTTCTTCCCTCTAAACTTTGGATTAAAAATACAGCAACAAAAAAGAAACACCAACAGAAGACCAGGTAAGAGCCACCTTAGTAAACCCAATCAGAGCATGTAAGGTGTAACGAATTACACAACACATTCATTTACTGCCTTACTGGCTTTTTTCAAATGTCATTGTGTGTCAAAATCAGATGTGTGTCTTAGATTGTGTCAAAATCAGATGCGTGACTTAGATTGCAGCTACTTACTGAAAAAAAATGATGTCATGGATTTTGGGTTTTATTTTAGGACATTGTCCTAAATCATCATGTGCCGTGTGGCATCATGTGCTACCTGAGCTTCATGAATACTATCTAGTGGGGGACAACAGTGTGCATGGTCACATCCTGGGCTCTCCAGTTGTTTCAGCTGCCTCCTGCCTCAGGGACAGTAGCAGCCGCTGGAGGGGAGCCCACACCCCACGCTGCAGAGGAAGCCCGAGGAGAGGTGACATGGGGCTCTCTACTGACTCAGCAGGGAATGTGTTCATCAGCTGCTTTGCTGCCCCCTCTCCAGCTTCTTTTACTTGGGTCAATTTTCCTTACAATGTGTTGCTGAATGAGAAAAAGAAAGCATATGTTGGCAGAATTTCAACTGAATAATGCCAAGGCTTTCCAAGTAAGAGCATGAATTTAAGCAGAGCAAAGTTTCCAGTCAATGGGACTCAGAGTAATGGCTATTCTGTTAATAATGAAAAGTACAAATGTTTTTATGTTCAAAGGTTAACAAAGGGATTTTCTCGCTGGCTTGCTGGCCTTCTCTGTTATGAAGTGGAAACTGTCCCAGATCTTCGCTTTATTGCACTTGTGTTTTCTAGGTGACCAGAAATATTTTCCACTTAGCATTTCAGGTTTTAAGCAGGCTGGTGACTTATTTTGAACTAGTTTCCTTTTTTTTTTTTGAGTCATTCTTAATCTGTTGTCCAGGCTAGAGTGCAGTGGCATACTCAACCTACTGGGCTCAGGCGATTCTTCCACCTCACTCCTCCAAGTAACTGAAACCACAGGCGCGCACCATCACACCTGGCTAATTTTTTTGATTTATTATAGAGATAGGGTCTCGCCAAGTTGCCCAGGCTGGTCTTGAATCCCTGAACTCAGACAATCCTCTCACCTCTGCCTCTCAAAGTGCTGGGATTACAGGTGTGAACCGCTGTGCCTGGCCCTTATTTTTTTTTAACTTTTTCCCCTTTGCAAGTAGACTGAAGCTTTAAAGTACTGTTAACAGGTTTTCCAAACAGCACACGTAGACTTTGCTTGCTTAATTATTACATTTGTCATGGGATTAGCACTTTCCAAAAGTATATTTCTACACAAACTTCTCATTTTGTCCAGAAGTATGGTTCTTTCCAGCTTCCAATGCCGATTAAGACCAAAGGGACCTAGCCCCATCCACTAGAGCTGTCACTATAAAGGCAATCATTTCAAATAAAGTGGAAGTCATTTATCCTAATGAACCAATAGGAAAGGAAAATGAAACCTGTTGAAATGTTCTAAACCCTTCAACAAAAACCACTGGTAATTCATGATGGCTGTATTTACCTCTATTAGTTTCTCTAAGTTGCGAATTTTGCTGGCTTTCCACATCAAAACCATCACCACCAAATATTCTAGTATTTGTTTAATTCCTGTATTCTTTTTCTTTAATTTTTTAATTTTAAAATTGTGGGGTACAATTCAGGGTTAGGTATACAGATATTCATTGTGCAGGTACCCTTGTTAATAAGGTATGCCCCCCTCCAGGCAGTTTCCCACTACTGCCAATCCCACCTCCCCAATTCCTGTATTCTTCATTAGCAGGCTTACTTCTCCCTTAGTGTATCAATACCCTTGTCCCACTCCTCCATTTGAGACCGTTTGGGGCCATTCCTAGTAAGAAACCAGCATTCGTGATGTCACTGTTCTTCTGGTCTTGTACTGCAGAGAGTGTGTGGACAATGGTTCATGCTTTCCCCTCCAAATGAAAGTGAGACACAGACATAATTGAAACTTACAATGTCAGGAGGTAATTTCATTCCATTATTTCTAATGAAAACCTAGCTAAAATGCTGGAAAATAGCCCTCCAGAAGCCCTGAGCACCTACATAGAACTGGACACAGGTGGGATGTAAACTTATTTCCTGTTGCCTCCCTCCCCAAATAGAGAGATGCTGTCAGTGGTCAGGAAATGCAGTGAACCACAGGTAATGAGCTCAGTATCCATTTTCCTTGTCAGATCTCCCAGCTGATGACAGAGAGTGGCCGGGAGGGACTGACAGAAGCAGCGCTGAACCGCTACAATGCAGACAAGCCTTCGGCCTGCAGCGTCCCGGCCTCGCAGGGCTCCTGCGTGGCCAGCGAGACTTCCACAGGCACCTCGGTGGCCGCCTCCTTCTTCGCACGGTAAGAGAGGTGTTCAGATCCTTGGTTCTTTCTGATGAGCCCATCTGGTTGGCCTCTCACATGGACCAGTTTAGATAAAACACTAGCAAGCATTTTGGGCCATTCTTTGTCTTCACTCTTTAAGACAGGGTTCCTCAACCTTGGCACTATTGACATCGTAAACCAGATAACTTTTTGTTGTGGGGACGGCCCTGTGCTTGTAGGATGTGTAGCAGCAGCCTTAGCCTGTTCCCACTAGATGCCTATAGTACCTTCCCTGACTTGTGACTACCAAAAATGTCTAGTGGGGCTAGTTGGGTTAAGAACCGCTGCTTGGAGAACATGTGACTCTAAAGATGACCCCCTTGGGATGAGGACTTTTGTAGGGGCAGCCCTATTGCTGGTGTGTCCAAATCTATCTTCTCATTACAGAAAATGAATTGCTTAAGATCTGTTAGATGGATGGCATTTTTTTTTTCTTCTTGACAGGCTAGTTGGATAGTATTTGATAACTATCCAGCTAATCTTGGAAACTTTAAAAACGTGAGAAACAAAAAAGAATGGCATTTCAACAATGTTTTCTGCCTAATTTTAGCAACATGGCAGCGACAGGGCAGGAGACAAAGGACAGCTGAGCAGGAAAGGATCATCTAATTCGATCTCCTTATTTTATGAATGAGGAAACTGAGCACCAGGAAAGTTCAACTATGAGTTAGTTTATAGAAATGCCAGAAATAGAAACCAGATTCCTCTACTTTTTTCTCTATGACTCATTTTTAATTTGATACCTGGAACTTAACCTTCAAAAACTTTCTCTACTTCAGATTTTCAAGCTCTCGAGTAAACAGAAGATGGAATCAATACAGTAGTCCCAGATCTAAGATCAGAAGACCCCTTGGGTTTAAGTTCCAGCCCTGTCTCAGTTTCCACATCTATAAAATAAGGATAACACCCACTCTGCAGAGCTGCTCTTGAGATTAAAATATTTCAAATTATAAATTACTGTACAAATGTTAATTCAATATGGAATTAACTAGTATGTCAGGAAGAAGGAATATTGTATGGCATTTCTTGTTTTGCTTATAAATGATGGCATCCAAAACATGAACATGAGGAAGGTGCTCTGATTAAGTATAGAGCAAGTTGGAGGAAGAACAGAGAGCCAGCATCCTGGATTAAGGCACCATAAAGGCAGTCACATGGGGCTAGTTGGAAGACTGGCTTTGAGGGCCTGATTGTCCTCTGGTGCATGTTTGTTGTCCTCTAAACACCTGAGCCAACTTGAAAGTATGGGAAGGAGTAGAAAATATGTATATACTGGCCACCCACCAGTGGGGACCTTTGTGTCTGCTCTGCCTGTACTTGAATCTCTGTGTTGTCCAGGACCATCGAGCAGGGTCCCGAAGCTCACTGGGAGGTCATGTCCATGCCCATCTAGGAGGCGGGGGAGGGAAATAGAGAAGTGGAACAGTTTATGAGGAAATGCTGGAGCACAGAAGGTCCTAGGAGGTTTTTAGAGCATGTCTAGGAGAGGGTGTCTAAGAAGTCGTATTATGGCAGGTTCAATCTGGAAAAGAGAGGGATCCACCCCCAGCTATCTCTTGGGCTCTTGTGTAAAGAGATTTGGTTAGTTTTGTAGAGCAACCCACTGTGTAGTCAAAGACTGAATAAGACCTACTGATGCAAGAGAGATATCTTCCAACTCAGAATGAAGAACTTGCTCACAATTTAAACTGCCCCAGGAGAGAGTGAGGTCTCCATCCCTAAGGGAGATCAAGGTTATCTTGAGAGATTACCTGGCTAGAGTGAACCTTCAGTGCTCAGATGGGAGTTTATCTCCAGTGTGCCTTCCAAACCTGAAATTCTCTAAATGTGAAAAGTCTTCAGTTCGGAGTCTATCCACAGAATTTTTTTTTTTTTTGAGTTGGAGTCTCACTCTGTCGCCCAGACTGGAGCGCAGCAGCCACTCCCAGTCACCGCAGCCTCGACCTGCTGGGCTCCGGTGATCCTTCTGCCTCAGCCTTCCCTGTAGCTGGAACTACAGGTGCATGCTACCACACCCGGCTAATTTTTTTGATTTATTGTAGAGATGAGGTCTCAACAAGTTGCCCAGGTGGGTCTCGAACCCGTGGGCTTAGGCAATCCACTCACCTCAGCCTCCCAAATGCGTGGGATTGCAGGCTGAGCCACCGAGCCCAGCTTTATCCACAGAATTTTACAGAAGATCAGCTAACTCAACAACAACAACAACAAAACCAAAACAAAAAAAGAAGGATTTGAAGCAGTAAGAAATAAGAGGTGGGGCCTCCCCATGAACAGTGTTTAGGGAGAACAGGCATTTCCCAGTATAAGGAAACCAATAGTATCTACAGAGCTGGGGAAAAAATGTGGACATGAGGTGGGCCTGGGAACACCTGAGTGTTAGACAAATGGTATGCCTGATGCCAGAGTTCCTGTTCATCAGAGGAGGACTTGCAAATAAGCAGACACATATCAGGAAAAATAATGGCACATCACTGGCAAAGCCGAAGGGTGGAATGGAAACACTGAGGCGAACCCCAAATCCTCAGGCTGGGGAGGTCCCGCAGGTGATGCTAGCAGTCAACAAAAGACTGAAACTCATGACTTGAGAACTGCAAGGGCTTGCAGTGTGAGTTTTCAAAGACCTGGAAAAGATCCATAGGCCTGCCAGAAACCTTATTATTACTTTCTTTGTGGTGAACGCCGATAGCACTTGGAGCTTAATGGTATAAGCTTTGAAAGTATTTGGTTTGTGTTCAAAGTGTTTCCAGTGTACAACGGGAAAAAAGAAGACTATATATAAAATATATATAAATATACATACATGTAAAAATATATAAAAAAGACTATGTATAAAGGGACTGCATAAAAACAACAATTCATACACACACACATACACACACACACACACACACACACACACACACAGACACACACATCTATTTCTCCCTGCTTCTTATTCATTACCCTGCTTTGCCCTGCTCTCATCAAGAATAGTTGAGCTTTCCCATTCCCAACAAGAGAGGCAGCATATTAACAACCTTTCTGTCACTGATGGGTACGTAAAGCAGAAGATTGAATGATTCACTCAAGGCCCACTGTGTCAAGAGACAGAACCGGACGTATCTTGCCTCTTTAGACCCCCAGAGTCCATGTGATATGTCAAAATCAGCCCAGCTTATGTTGTCAGACAGTAAACAGAATTCAATGTCCTAGAGCCATTCGGTTTCAGCCAAAGCAAAGCTGTGTAAGATGATGACACGGGCAGCCCTTTGTAGGGGGATATCTGGATCTGTTGCTGCTGCCAAAATAGGAAACACTTTAGTGGTTCTGTTCGTATTAAAGCAAAGGAGAGTCTGTCCTCATAGAGATTTGGGGGCGGAGTCAGCTCCTACAACTCAGATCTGTGCTCACCACTTTCAACTTTCCCTGCCTGTGTGATGGAGACACAGTCTCTGAGTCTGCAGCGGTCTGGAATTCTCCTGCAGCTCCAAGGCAGGACACAAGAGCAGCCTGCTCTCAGGAAGCTGTGCTGGGGTCATTTAATTTCATTTGGGAGGGACACCATTCACCAAATGTGTGACCATTTATTGAGCACTCAGTATGCATCACTTGCTGTTAACTAAACTTTTAATATGCAAGATTCTCCTTTATTCTCAGAGTAACCCTGTGAGGCAGATCCCTGTTTTATGGATAAAGAGTGCCTGAAGTTAAGTTACTGACCCAAAGCCACACAGCCAGGAAGTGGCAGAGTGGGGAGACCATCCTCATCTTCTGTCACTTAAGAGCTCATGTTCCTATTCTCTGTGCTAAACGGGCACAGTAAGATATTTTATTATAGGTTTTATCACCACCATCACAAACTGATGATCATCACTTATAAAACAGTTTGAAATTAATTGGCCCTGCAGTTTGAGAAGATGAGTAGAACAACAGAAAAACCCAATTTGTTGAAGGTTGCAGATGTTTATGATATGAGCCTTTACTTAAACTTTATTTTTATGAAAAAATGGTATATATTTATGCTTTGAAATGTGTATATTTTGTGAAATTAGCCTTTTTAAAATGATGCTTACTTTTCAGAGCCATGGGTGGAGGTCTGGGTGGATCTTGTTGCATCTCAGATTCAACGTCTATAAAATAAGAGTTCCAATTCTGAATAAGCAGTGCCTAGCCTATGGACCAGTGCTGGTCCACATATGGTTACTGGTCTGTGATAAGTATAGAAGTTGAGAGGAAGCACTTAGAAACATCTGTTGATGGAGTAATTGCATGTTTATTGGAGCTAAGAATTAAACATTGGGGCTTGTATTTTGTGCATTATTCAGAATAAAAGAAAAAGTAGTCCTTCCCCCGGACAGTTTGAGATGCACTGCTTTAGAGAATGGTAGAACTCAAAGCAGCTGTTCTGGCCTTCTGTGCCTCTCTTGCCAGAATTTATTTTTTCTTTTTTTTTCTTTGAGTTGGAGTTTCACTGTGTCACCCAGGCTGGAGTGCAGTGGCATGCTCATGGCTACTCCAGCACCGACCTGCTGGGTTCAGGTGATCCTTTCGCCTCAGCCTTCCAAGTAGCTGGAACTATAGGCATGCGCTACCATGCCTGGCTAATTTTTTGCTTTGTTATAGAGATGAGGTCTCACTAAGTTGCCCAGGCTGTTCTCGAACCCGTGGGCTCAGGCAATCCACTCACCTCGGCCTCCCAAAGTGCTGGAATTACAGGCTGAGTCACTGAGCCCAGCCCAGAATATCTTAAATAATCAGCATCTTAATAAAGTCTTTTCTTCAGAATTCAATACCCTGTTGGGGGGGGGGGGACAAAACCAAACCACTTTTTTTTTTTTTTTGGAAAAAAAACAAAATAGTAACAGTGGACCAAAGAAGAGATTGGAACTATTGATACCTAAGTTGGTTAACTATCATGTGCTTGCTTTGAACATAAAGAGCATTTCAAAGGGATACTTTTCTTGGCATGATTTTCATATTAATAGGAAACGGTGATG